CAGAGGATCCTGCTGGACTCAGAGGATCCTGCAGGACTCAGAGGATCTGGATCTCACCTGTTATTAGCCTCTCTGAGGGCTGATGGTTTCTCATCCAACCTTAAAACCGAACCGAACGGTACCCGAGTGTCTGAGGGCCTCTCCTCCTCCTCCTCCTCCTCAGGACCAGGAGGCCCACAGAACCGACCAAACGGGCCGTGGATGAAGGCATCAAGGAGCAAAGATGGTCGGACCTACCGATCTGCACGCTCGGAGTTCCGCTCCATCCTCCTCCGAACACGAGCGCGAGCGCGACGAGCAGCTTCATGGTGAGGTTCGGGCCCGATCCACGTCAGAACCAGAGCAGCACCGCCATCACAGCCGGCTTCTGCTGCTGAGAACCAGATTCAGGCTAAAGCTCGTTCATGGGCGCGCGGGGCTGCGCGTGCCACACCTGTCTCCACAACTGCGAAGCTTCAAACCGAGGAAGTCCGAAGAAACCCGAGCGCTTCCGAAAGATCCGTGGAAACTGGATCACCGAGGCGAAGGCGGAGCGTGTGCGCACGTGCGCGTGCGTGTTTTTTTTTTTTTTTTTTTACCGAAATAACTGGATCTTAAGAATCTCTCAGAAAGATTCATTGGATGTCCTGAAGCTGATCGATAATCCAGATCAATAACAGGTGACTCAGGACGGTTCTGCTCCAGTCCAGAGGACCGGACCGGTTCTGATGGACCTGGATCATGTTGGATCATCCAAGATGGCCGCTCAGAGCAAGAGACAGAAAAAAGGCTGAAACTGTCAATTCTTCAGCTATTGATTAATTCAGTCAGATATTGATTAATTCTGTCAGATATTGAATAATTCAGTCAGATATTGATTAATTCAGTCAGATATTGATTAATTCAGTCAGATATTGATTAATTCAGTCAGATATTGATTAATTCTGTCAGATATTGATTAATTCAGTCAGATATTGATTAATTCAGTCAGATATTGATTAATTCTGTCAGATATTGATTAATTCTGTCAGATATTGATTAATTCAGTCAGACATTGATTAATTCTGTCAGATATTGATTAATTCAGTCAGATATTGATTAATTCAGTCAGATATTGATTAATTCAGTCAGATATTGATTAATTCAGTCAGATATTGATTAATTCAGTCAGACATTGATTAATTCAGTCAGATATTGATTAATTCTGTCAGATATTGATTAATTCAGTCAGATATTGATTAATTCAGTCAGATATTGATTAATTCTGTCAGATATTGATTAATTCTGTCAGATATTGAATAATTCAGTCAGATATTGATTAATTCTGTCAGATATTGTTTAAATCAGTCAGACATTGATTAATTCAGTCAGATATTGTTTAAATCAGTCAGATATTGAATAATTCAGTCAGATATTGATTAATTCAGTCAGATATTGAATAATTCAGTCAGATATTGATTAATTCTGTCAGATATTGATTAATTCTGTCAGATATTGAATAATTCAGTCAGATATTGATTAATTCTGTCAGATATTGAATAATTCAGTCAGATATTGATTAATTCAGTCAGATATTGAATATTTCAGTCAGATATTGTTTAAATCAGTCAGACATTGATTAATTCTGTCAGATATTGAATAATTCAGTCAGATATTGAATAATTCAGTCAGACGATTAATTCAGTCAGATATTGATTAATTCTGTCAGATATTGAATAATTCAGTCAGATATTGAATAATTCAGTCAGACGATTAATTCAGTCAGATATTGTTTAAATCAGTCAGACATTGATTAATTCAGTCAGATATTGATTAATTCTGTCAGATATTGATTAATTCAGTCAGACATTGATTAATTCAGTCAGATATTGATTAATTCTGTCAGATATTGAATAATTCAGTCAGATATTGATTAATTCTGTCAGATATTGATTAATTCAGTCAGACATTGATTAATTCAGTCAGATATTGATTAATTCTGTCAGATATTGATTAATTCTGTCAGATATTGTTTAAATCAGTCAGACATTGATTAATTCAGTCAGACATTGATTAATTCAGTCAGATATTGATTAATTCAGTCAGATATTGATTAATTCAGTCAGATATTGATTAATTCTGTCAGATATTGAATAATTCAGTCAGACGATTAATTCTGTCAGATATTGATTAATTCAGTCAGATATTGTTTAAATCAGTCAGCTATTGATTAATTCAGTCAGACGATTAATTCTGTCAGATATTGATTAATTCAGTCAGATATTGATTAATTCAGTCAGATATTGATTAATTCTGTCAGATATTGATTAATTCAGTCAGCTATTGATTAATTCAGTCAGCTATTGATTAATTCAGTCAGATATTGATTAATTCAGTCAGCTATTGATTAATTCTGTCAGATATTGAATAATTCAGTCAGATATTGATTAATTCTGTCAGATATTGAATAATTCAGTCAGACGATTAATTCAGTCAGATATTGTTTAAATCAGTCAGACATTGATTAATTCAGTCAGATATTGATTAAATCTGTCAGATATTGATTAATTCAGTCAGATATTGATTAATTCTGTCAGATATTGAATAATTCAGTCAGACGATTAATTCAGTCAGATATTGATTAATTCTGTCAGATATTGTTTAAATCAGTCAGATATTGATTAATTCAGTCAGCTATTGATTAATTCAGTCAGATATTGATTAATTCAGTCAGATATTGGTTAAATCAGTCAGATATTGATTAATTCAGTCAGCTATTGATTAATTCAGTCAGATATTGATTAATTCAGTCAGGCATTGATTAAATCAGTCAGACATTGATTAATTCAGTCAGACGATTAATTCAGTCAGCTGATTAATTCAGTCAGATATTGATTAATTCTGTCAGATATTGTTTAAATCAGTCAGACATTGATTAATTCAGTCAGACGATTAATTCAGTTAGCTATTGATTAATTCAGTCAGACAATTATTAATTCAGTCATATATTGATTAATTCAGTCATATATTGCCTCTGTAGTAAAATATTGTGATCAACTGTATCAAATGCAGCACTGAGGTCTAACAGGACCAGTAGAGACACAAGTCCATTGTCTGAGGCCATGAGAATATCATTAGTGACTTTCACCAGTGCAGATTCTGTGCTATGATGAGCTCTAAACCCTGACTGAAACTCTTCAAACAGATTATTTCTTTGTAGATGTTCACGCAACTGACCTGCAACTATTTTCTCTAGAATTTTTGAGATGAAAGTTAGATTAGATATAGATCTATAGTTGGCCAGAATTTCTGAATCAAGATCAGACTTCTTAAGTAAAGGTTTAATTACAGCAACCTTAAAGCTCTGTGGTACATAACCATCCATTAAAGACAAATTAAGTAGATCCAAAATGTGGACATTAATTAGGGGAAATACCTCTTTAAACAGTCTGGTTGGGATGGGATCTAGCAGGCATGTGGATGGGATCTAGTAGGCATGTGGATGGGATCTAGCAGGCTTGTGGATGGTTTGGATGAAGTTATTATTTCTGACAATTCAGAGCTCAACAGGACAAAAACTGTCCAAACATAAATCAGGCTCTAGTGACGTTATTAAAGTTGCCTCATTTGACAGGGGACTAGAGATAGTAGAAGGAAGGATGGTTTGAATTTTCTCTCTAATTGAAATAATTTTATTTATAAAGAATCTCATGAAGTCATCTGATCTTGGCTTTGATCACCTGGTTTTAATCAGGGCCACATCATTCAATAGAGTATTGCATAAAGAATCAAGATCTAAGGAAAGCTCCTCAGTGCTGAGAGACACAGAGAGCTGTGACTCTGAACGATTAAAGACAGTGGAGAAATGAGCAGCAGAGGACGAGTTAAAAACACGGCAGCGTTGAGCAGGAGCACAGGACTTAACAGGTTTAGAAACAGGAATAAAATCAAATAAAACTGGCATGTGGTCTGAAAACAATGCATAACCAATTTCCAAGTTACAAATAGATAAACCATAAGATAAAACAAGGTCCAGGGTGTGTGTACGTTCATAGGTTGGGCCCGTCACTGCAAAGCATCCACTACATCCAAGAAATCCTTCACCAGCAGCTTTCCAGTGCAACACACGTGAATATTAAAGTCTCCAAGAATTTAAACTTGCTCATATTTGGATATAAAATCACCCAAGACGTCAGAAAAGTCCCGTATGAAGTCCTTATTATACCTGGGAGGCCGGTAGATGACGGCGCACAGAAGCGGAGGAGCACAGCCCAACTCAAACGTGCTCAGTTCAAGGTAGAAAACGCAGTCGGGAGGGACAGCTGCTTACAGTCCAAACTTGATTTATGAATAATCGACAAACCTCCTCCACGACCCAACGACCTTGGGGTATTAAAATATGAGCAACCTTGGGGGAATAGTTCTGAAAAAACACTGGACTCACGCAGAGAAAGTCCAAACCCTGGGACGAATAAAATACCTTCAGGATAAAAGTTTTGTTTGTAACAGATATGATAAAATGTAAAAACCTGAAGACAAACGTTACAATCATAATGTAGACATGTTCCTGTTTTTAGTTTTCTACACCATCTGACAACTTAGCTGCTTTTTGCTACTTTTCCTGTGAGTTATCTTTTTAATTATCATTTTATTTTCAATTTTAAAATCACGAGTATTTTAAAAAGGAAAATAAAATGATAAAAATTGGGAGGAAACTGGAGCACCCGGAGAAAACCCATGCATGCACGGAGAGAACATGCAAACTCCACCCAGAAAGGCCCCTGGACCGGGGTTTGAACCAGGGACCTGCTCACTGAGAAGCAGCAGCTCTACCAGTTGCTCCACTGTGCTGCCCTGACTGCAAGCCACGATCAGCAAATAGGTGGCTTGGAGTCCAGAAATAGGCAGCGCACTAGCCAGATATGGAGCGCAGGTTGCCATTTGAGGGCCACTCTCCTAGAGTGGACCAGCCAGAGCCTTGTACTGAACCCTATCAACCAAGTCTGGATAGACCCAAAAAAGACCCGTTACTGACGGTTCACATCCAACCAGACGTTTCCGTTTGGAATGACAAGAATTAATCAAATTAAAAATAAATAGATTAAAAAGCAAGAGTTGGGGGTTCTATTCCACCAGCCGTCACATGCCGAAGTGTCTATGGGCAAGACACTGAACCTCTCATTGCCTCCAATGTGTGTCCCATCAGTGTATAAATGTGATACAGCTCTGATTATTCATTGTAGAGATCTAGTATAGAGCTGTATGAATGTGTAAATGAGACACAGATTGTTGTAAAGAGCTTTGAGTATCTTGATCAGTTAGAAAGGAGCTGTATAGGTGCAGTCCATTTACCATTTACATGCAGAGGAGGGACAGTGGTTTGGACATGTCCAGAGGAGGGACAGTGGTTTGGACGTGTCCAGGGGAGGGACAGTGGTTTGGACGTGTCCAGGGGAGGGACAGTGGTTTGG